GCCGTGGTCTTCTCCGGTGAGTGGGGGGGGGTGTCGGGTGGGCGGCAGCCGGCCCGAGGGGTGTTCTAGCTTTCTCCACCCGGCTGAGGAAAGAAACATGAAAACGTGGAAGGAAAGTAGCCACTTTTCCCGGAAGGAGCGGGGGAGGTTGTTTTGTTTTGTTTTGTTTTGTTTTGTTTTGTTTCTTCTTTGTTTTTTAATGACCACGATGAGTCTAAGGGGTAGATATTTCTATTTCAAGGCGTGCAGAGGTACGGATTCTGATAGCATGTTTGCCTTCTTAGGAGTCACAGATAACATCGTTTTGGAAGAACCCTTTCTAGTTGGCATTGAAGGTTCGCTAAAAGGCAGGTACGTACCAAGAATTCCTGATCCGTGGCTGGTCTCAAACTTGATGAGGCTGAGAACCGTGAAACTGACATGTACCCAAAGAAAACAGTTTTTGTGTTGCGCAACAAAAATAGTTTATTCCATCTAGACAATGTACTTGAAGGATAAGATGACACAGTCTTCCCTAGTGGCATGTACAAGTGAAGGTGGTAGGGAGAAAAGAAAATAACTTTTTGGATTATAGTGAGAATAAAATACTATAAACTATAATCATTTGAGATACAGAATTTTTATGTTTGCATTTAACATGGAGTTTGCAATAAATTAGTGCACGATTAATTTTGCTGCAACCTCAGAAACAGTACAAGCACTTGACTACAGCTTGGTCTACTTTGTATCTAGTTTGTACTGGGATTTACAAATGACAAAGTAGTAGGCAAATTTGGTGTTAACATCCCTCCTTAATTCACTTTAACAGGAAGACCGTAAACTCTGACCACAGATTTTGGTAGAGTTTTAAAGTTTTTAACGTATCAGAATTCTTAGTCGCCTAGGAAGTTGCTTTAACCAGGAAGAGTTCTTCAGTGTGATCAAACTTGAGTTAGTCACTTACCTCCCTTCATCTTTTCCAACAGAAGACACGTTTTTCTGTACGATTCCCCATCCCACCCCAAGGAGACAAGAGTAGAGCAGTGGCCTGTTTAGAATTGGCTGATTTAGAGCCAGAGGCAGACGTTCTCTGAATCTCCGCTTAGAGAGGAAGGTAATACATCTAGATCTGTGTTGTCCACCACTAGCCACATGCGGCTATTTAAATGTTGCCGCTCTGGATCTAGATATACTGTGAATGCAAAATATAGGATTTTAAAAACTCAGTACAGAATAATTAATTATTCTTTAATATTGGCTACATGTTGAAATGACATTTTTGCTATATTAGGTTACATGAAATATTTTAAAACTAATTTCATCTGTTCTTACTTTTGTTTAACAAGACTAACACAATTTAAAATTACATATGTGGCTCACATGTTTTCCTCTTGTACAGTGCTGTTCTAGATGGCTTGTAAAATACTGGAGGGAAAGTCTCCTATATTCTTGTATTTGTGAATAATGTGAGCCACAGAGACATGGTTGTTTTGACTCAAGAAGGTGTATTGTTGTGTTTTGCTTTGTTTTGGTTCTTTAGGTTTTTGTTATAGGGCACATGGATTCACCAGAGAGAGGAAAAGTGAGAAATCAGCCCCAAGGGTGATGGCCACGCCACAATCCCTTCTTCACTCTCTCAGGATTTCGGGCAGGCATGCATGCATATCCTCCCACCCCCCACCCCGTGTGATTTTCACACCACTGGGTCTGAGATTCAAACCATTGTCTGCCACATGGGAGTCTAATGCCTTAACCACTACACCACCTAGAGGGTTATTAGATACCACAGCTCAAAGGCACCTCTCTTTTTATTTTTGTTTTTAACAATGTGGGACCAGCAAATGGGTTAATGATTATGTCGCTGAACTCCCAAGTAGTTGACTGTGGTTTGAGCCCCAGACCCAGCAGCTTAAAATTCACTCTAGGCGTGCATGTATGTGCGTTCACAGAATCCCAAGAGGAGAGGAGAGGAGAAGGGGTTGCAGTGTGGCCATCCTCCCTGGGGGGTGATTTCTAACTTTCTGTCTCTTGTCTCCCTGGTAAGCATATACACCCTGTAGCAAAAACTTAAAAAAAAAGTATGTTTATTACTTATGGTCACAGAATAGGTTAAGAGGATGATTACTGATGCAGTCGAAAGGCATGTGGGGAGGGGGAGATGCATGTAGGGTACACTTAGGAATGCCCAAGATCAAATGTGGCGGAAGATGCGGAGTGAACAGACTGTAGGAGGGTACACATTTCTCACTTAGTCTCACATGTGCTGTATCATGAATGAGTGAAAAGTAAAGCATATATGGGCTAGCAGGTGGCATGGGGGTTGAAGTGTCTAGATCCCACATGGCGGACTATGTGTTTCAAGTCCCAGACCCAGTGGCTTGAAAATCATGCCAGGTGTGTATGTCTAAAATCCTGAGAGAATGAAGGAGAAGGGATTGCAGCATGGCCATCCCCCCAAGGGGTCATCTCTCACTTTCCCCCTCTTTCTTTCTGTTTCTCCAGTGAGCACACACTCCCTATAGTAAAAACTAAAAAAGAAAAATAAAGGAAAGAAAATTGATCCCTCCCAATCTACTGTATTTGATTAATTTTAAGATGTACTTTACTGGGGCCAGCAAGTGGCGTGTTGATTAACGGTTCAGGACTCCCATGTGGCTGACTACAGTTCTAGTCCCAGCCTTGGCGGCTTGCTTTCTCTGTCTCTGGTTAAATTGAAAAATAATGATAATAAATAATTCTTAAAAAAAAAAGATGTACTTTATTTTTTTGTATTTATTTATTTTAATTTGCCAGAGAGTGTGTGCTTACCTGAGAGAAACAGAGATGGAAGGAGAGGGAGAAAGCACCATTTCTTCATTTCTCCTTCCTGCCCAGACTTAGGGCACATATGAACACACGCTCAGCATGGTTTTCAATCCACCAGGGCCAGATTTCCAACTGTATGTTGGCCCTGTGGGGTCTTGCTCCCTTAACCACTAGGAGATAACCCTTTTTTTTTTTTTTTTTGGGAAGGCTTTGTTACTGAGTTTTTGTTGTACTCGACAGAATATTTGCTTAGATGGAATTTTGCTTATATTGATTATAAGTATATAAGTAAACTGGATTGTTTTTAAGGAAGTATTTATTTATATAATTCTGTTTGTTGTTATTAGTTTTTAATTTGACCAGAGAGAGAGAGAGAGAAAGTGAGAGAAAGGGAAAGCGAGAAAGCAAACTACCAGGTCTGGGACTCAAACCGTGTTTGGCCATGTGGAAACCAGTACCTTTAACCACCATGCCACCTGCCAGCCCAGTAAATTGGATTCTTATGAAATTAAGAAGGTAATTAAGGCAAATTCAAACATGAAAGAAAAGAGAACGAGTCTTCATACACCTCTCATTAAACTAGGGCAGTAATCAATTCATGGCCAGCCTTGTTTTATCTATAGTCTTATTCACTCCCCTCCCCTCAATGGTTAGAAGGAATACTGGAAATTATATTATTCTATCCATAAATATTTTAGTGAAAATCTTTTAACTTTTTCTTTCGGGAAAAAAAATCCTTGCCAGAGGGTGTCTGTGTCTGTTGGAGAGAGACAAAGAGACAGAGAAAGTGAGAGAGCACCCTCTCCTCTATGGGGAATGGTCATGCCGCAGCCTCCTCTTTTCCATTTTTCCCTCCTTTTAGGATTTTAGGTACCCATGCACACACGCCCAGCACTTTCTCGGGCCACCAAGTCCTGGACATGAACTGCACAGTGGCCATTTGGGATCCAACCACTTTAACTACTAGGCAATGGATTAGCCTAGAGAAAATCTTTTTTTTTTTTTTTTTGGAGAGGTTTTTGCTATAGGGCACATGCACTTGCCAGAAAGACAGAGAGAGACTGCACTTGCCAAAAAGGACAGAGAGAGACTGCACTTGCCAAAAAAGACAGAGACAGAGAGACAGAAAGTGAGAAATCACCCCCCTAGAGGGGATGGCCACGCCACAATCCCTTCTCCTTCATTCTCCTCTCGGGATCTTGGGCACGCATGCACACATGCCCAGCATGAGTTTAAGCCACCAGGTTCGAGACTTGAACTGTGGTCAGCTACATGGGAGTCCAGCGACATACCCATTAAGCCAACTGCTGGTCTCGTGAAAATCTTTACATAATTGTTTAAATTTTTTTTATTAAATTTTTCATTAAGAGACCAGTGGGTGGCGTAATTGTTATGTCTCTGAACTCCCATGTAGCCAATTGCTGCTTGAGTCCCGTACCCAGTGGTTTAAAACTTATGCCAGGCGCATGTGCATGCATACCCAAAATTCTGAGAGGAGAATGGAAAAGAAGGAATTGCAGCACTCCCCCTGGGGAATGATTTTTCACTTTCTGTCTCTCTGTTTCTCCATAAGAAGCAAGCACCGTATAGCAAAAATCTCTCTTAAAAAAAAAATTATTTCATTAAAATTTTATTTCTTTTTTCATTACAGAGCACA